TGGCAGGAGCCCCACCACAACAGAGGGATCGAGCTCAGAAGATAGGCTGGACTTCCTAGTGGACACATGTAAGATACTTGCTACCCCTGGAGACGCTCAGAAATGTTTGAGGGTAGGGAGGTTGTGGTTTGCAATAGACCACAAGCCCTGGTGAACAGCTTGAGACCACAAGCACAGGCAATTTGGGTGTCGATGTCATTGTGCCTCCTTGTTTCCATTCCCAGAGGTCAAGTTGGGGTCACTCCCAGCACAGACTTGCTGATAAGGGGTTTGCCCCGATGTCCCTGTGGAGCCCAATGGCTAAAAGCCCAGACTGGAGTCATCTGCCAGCTCCACCACTTGATGGCTGTGTGACCTTGGACAACTTACTTAACCTCTCTGAGCCTTGGCTTCCTAATCTATAAAATAGGGGGGGAAATGACAGTACCCATGTCTCATTGGAAGGTTAAAATGATTAATATATGTTACATACATATGTATTAGAATGAAGATTTATAAGCGGTAGAGCTTGTTATTACCTCAAATGTCCTGATAGAGATGGAGCAGATGGTGGCTGTTTGGAAACAATGGTTCTTAACTGAGGACAATTTCCCCCCAGGAGACAGTTGACAATTCTTGGAGACATTTTTGACCGCCACACTGAGGGTGGGTAGTACTACTGGTATCTAGTGGGTAGAGGCCAGGGATGCTTCTAGATATCCTACAATGCACAGGACCCTCCCCCCCCCCCCAACATAGAATTAATGGTCTAAATGTCCTTGGTGCCACCTTGGAGAAAGCTCGGCTGGAGGGGAGGCATGTAGTGGGAGGAGGGCCTGTGGGAGCCGAACGAAGTGTGCACTGAGCAGAGGAGGGAGGGCCGGGCTCTCCTCCATCCCTGAGGGTGGCTGTGGATTTCAGAGATAACTGCTGTCAGAAGGGCCAGGTGTTTGGATTTCAAATGCCTTGTGACTGTGACAGGGATGGCTTATTGATCGGGGCTCCTAAACTAGCCCTGAAGGTCACCGGCAGAGGGAAATGCAACTGTGGTTTGAGCAAAGCAGAGGGAACAGCCTTGGTGTCAGCATAAAGGTTGCAGTTTGTCCATTAAGCAGGAAAGGGGGGTCCTGGTGGGTCTCAGCCTTGCTACGGCCAGGCCTCCTGCTGGGAGCTGGTGCATTCAGATGTGTGTGCACGCACATACACACACACACACACACACACACAGAGGCATACATGCACCGATGATGCTTCAACACACACACTGCACACACATGGCTACATTCTTTAGGTCGGGAAAAGAGGTGATTGTAATCCACCAGTTGGCAGGACGGTTGGCAAATGAACGAGTCTTATAAAAATATTAAGTAACTGTCAAAATCTCTTGTTTTCTTAAAAGGGTTTCCATTCCTTTTTTGGTGGGTGTGTGCACATGTGGAGTAGAGGCACCTGACACATTAAAAAAGAGTTTAGGCCTAGCCTCCAGGATGCCGGCTTCAGCCCTTCCGGAAAGTTCTGTGCAGATCTTTTCCCTGCCTGGAGCCCTGACACAAGAAGGAAGGGGCTACACTGTGGAGCTGTTAAGAGTACAGGCCCCTCCAAACTCCGAGCCTCTGAAACCAGACCGAGTGGCTCTATGTTGCGGCACCCACATATCTGAGTTCTCGGAGATTTAAGACTCTAACAGTAATTCAATTGGACGTCAAATTAAACCCACCTAAGCCCTGGCCGGTTTGGCTCAGTGGTTGGAGCGTTGGCCTCTGTACCAGAGAGTCCCGGGTTCGGTTCCCACTAGGGGCATGTACCAAAAAAAAAAAAAAAATTGCTAAACCCACCTAAATAGTTTCAAAACCACAAATTAAAAATGGGATAACTGATTTTGAAAGAGTCTCTGAATCCTGGTGTTCAACCTCCCATCACAGGTCATTTCAAAGTAATGGGCTGTTGGGTAGAATTCAGTTAATGTGCTTGCTGCTGACCTCTGTGCGTATGGACACTCTCTCACACATGCACACATGTGGTCTTGCACACGCCCAGGGAGGCTGATGCTCCGGGAGGCCGCTGGGGACTCCTGGCATGAGATGACCCTGGTGAGGACGGTGAGGGCGTGTGCTGAGACTGTCAGATATATTGCCAAGTTCAATCTGTTAATACAGGGCTTAGATTTTAAATTTTCTTTCTCTCTCTGTTCTTTCTTTTCCTTCCTTCCTTCCCAATTTTACTGGTGCCATCGAAGCTGACCAGCATCAGCTCCAAACTGCACTGTCATAGCTCCTGGCCTGGCCTCGTGGAGCGTGTGACCTGGACACACACCGGGCCTGCCAATAGCCAGGGCTGTGCTCTGGGGGTGGGTGCCCCGCAGCTACGGGCACTGCCAGCCTCTGGGCTCCTGGGATGAGAGCTGTCTTCTCCGGTTGATACTGGGCTTCTTTATGGCTCTTCTTGGCTGGCCAGCTGGCCCCTCTGGGCCTATAATTAGCCGCAAAGCCGGGCCCAGAGATCAGGTATCTGTTGGTCTGCATGTCCCAGAGAGGGGCTATTGGGGCCTGAAGATAATCTACGGGCTGCGGTGCCCAGTGGCCTGGTTTCTGACCCAGGAAGTCTTGGGCCTGTCTGGTGAGGGTGTCTGCATCCCTCTGGGCACACTGTATTTTTCTTTCTAAAGCTGGTAATCACTTTGCAGGCCCTCTGAATGGTGCACGAATGTGTCCCTCAGGTCCTGGGGTGCTTCCAGCCACCCCTGACGAGAGGACTCGTGGGTTTGGAGACACTACAACGTGCCACGCAGAGATGAGCCGGGAGCTGCTTCTTTCTCATGGTGGCGCAGCGGGAGGCTTCCCTGGGGGACATAACCTCCAGATGAGATGAGATGCACTGAGACGTCTCCCCAGGGTCACGGGCAGAGGCTTGCCAGGTCCCTGCGCTCATAAAAAGGCTTGGCTATCGGCAGTGATGTGGCAGCGTTCTCTGCATCGACTGTGAGGTCACAGAGAGCCCCAAGGGGTTGACAACCAGGACAAGGATGTTTGGAGAGGGAGGGCTTGGAGGGACCTGGAGGCCTCCTGCGAAATGTGAACTGGGTTTGGATCAGACTGAATTCCCTTTCTGTCGCCTCCTAGCCTCAGGTTCCTCGTCCATAAAACGGGGACAGTCATTCCTCCTTCCTCCAGGGTAGTCGGCGTGAGAGTGATTCATGACCTGCTCATGGACTCAGACACTAAGCAACAGGGTCAGGACTGGGCTGAGGTGTGCCCACCTCCAAGGCCCAGCCTCCCGCCCTCCGAATTAGTAAAGACACACTGCTGTATCCAATCTCAAAACGACAGTGGCCCCACACAGCAGTTTATTTCTCTGTCTCGGAAATTGACTCAGGGCCGGTGTTCTCATTGGCGAATGGCTCTCCCCACAATGACGATTCAGAAACCCAAGCTGCTTCCGTGGGTGGCTCTGCCATCTTATAACTGAGTGACTCCCGAGGCCACCGTGGTCATCTGCATCTCGGTGGGAGAGGAAACAGCGTGGCCGGTGGCACGTGGAGAATTTCTATCGGTCGGGCTTGGAGGCGGTAGGCATCATGCTCACGTGTCCTGGCTGGGGCTCTGTCTCCCGGCCACTGGAAGGTTCAGGCCGGTGAGGAATGCTGCCTGGCTGTGTTGGCAAGAAGTTCCTCTTGCCGGGAAACGACAGCACTCAGGAGGGGTCTGGAGGATGCTCCGGGAGAAGGGCAGGGCTGGTAGCCCCGAAGAAACAAGGCCACACGCCTTGGTTGGGGCCCAGGAGCAGATGCTGAGACCAGATTGGAGTGCACACTGCGGAGTGGGGATGGGATGCCACCATGCATGGCAGAGGAGAAGGGCCTGGAAGTCTGCCAAGGGGCATGTTCTCAGGCCAGGTGCCATGGCGGGCAGCTGAAGCCCACACCCGCAGGGACTCTGGGAGCCAGGGTGGAATGGAGACTCAGAGTTGTCCCATGAAAGGCTGGGGCAGCTGGGGGGTTAGTACACACACACCGCAGTCGGTGGTCGAGGGCTGCTCCCGGAGGGTGTCATCCGCTGGCTCTCCTGGGCTCTCCTGTGGCAAAGGGGGCCTGGGAGAGACAGGTACAGGCAGATGGAAGCCTGGGGGTGTGCACCTAGTGGTCAAGGTGAGGGACCTGAGTGGGCTCTCACAGTGTCTGCTACACTCAGCAAATGTGCAAGGGACACTCAATTCCCTTCCTTCTTCTTCTTCTTCTTATTTTTTTTTGGTTTGTGCTCCTAGCAGGAACTGGACTCCAGACTCTCTGGTCCACAGGCCGACGCTTCAACCCCTGAGCCAAACCAGCCAGGGCTCAATTCCCTTTCTTGATTGGTCCCCTGAAGGGATAGGGCAGGGGTCAACTCCCAGCCTGCAGCTAGGTCTGTCATCTGAGCCTCCGATCCAATGGCTCCCAGAGCCTGGAGGCAGCTGCATGGCCAGGGGTGGGCACTTGGCTCGGAGTTAGTTCCCTGACCTGAGCTGGAGCCTAGGTCTGGAGCTTCTTAGCTAGAGACCTTGAGCAAGAAAGTCATTTCCTCTCCCAGCCTCCGTCTACTCTCTGCTCACTGGGTGCCCACTACGTACATGGCCTTGCACCGTGCTCTGAGGATACAAGTGAGGACACAGTCACGCCCAGCCCTCCTTTGTGCCGAGCTGCTTTGTGGGAAAACAGGTGGGGGTGGGTTCTGAAAATCATAGAGGATGCCCCCCACACACCCCACACCCAGTCTCAGGAGGCAAATGTAGTTCCTTTGCAGCAATATTTACTGAGCATCTCACCAGGCCCTATGCCTGGAGCAAGGGTCTCTACCCTGGAGGCACCGACAGGTTCTTATCTGTAAAGTGGGTATGCTCACTGCCCCCTGTGAGATACGATCAGGACTGCCTACACAATTTGCAGGGCCTGGTGCAACATGAATACAGCTCCTCGTTAAAAAATCAGCAAGAGTTTCAAGGCAGTAACAGCAGAGGGTGAAAACAAGGGTGTCCGAGTGCCGGACGCCATGTGCCTGCTCTTGCACGAGATCGCGCTGCACACAGATTTTGTAAACGGCAAAGTGCGGGCTCACGTAAGAGTTGCTGATTAACCAAGGGCGGCGGGAGTCCGGATGGGCAAATGGGTGAGTGGCACCCACCCTGAGTAAGGCCAGGCCCTGTCCAGAGACAGTGAGAGTCTTGACAGCTGCTGCATACCCTGGGGAGTCAGACAGACTGTCCTCAAAAAGATCCAGCCAGCCCCCTGACCTTGGCCAAGGCCCAGACACCCTGCTCCCAGGTCAGAGGGGTTTGGCAGCCTCGGGACCCAGATTGGAGGCACAGACTGTATACTTATATGAGAATTTCAGGCTGTGCTTGGTGACTCATGATGACACCCAGGACAGGGAAGCCTGTTAAGGCCAGGGTACCAGCTCCCCAGTCCCATGCTCCCCATGGCAAATGATGCTCAGCATGGGGTGCTGCTCTATCGGGAGGTATGGGTGCCCCCAGCATGCTCAGCTGGGCCCGTGGATGGCCCTCCAAAGGAGCCCTCAGGATTTCATCTGGGTACAAGCATTCTCCTGGGATAGGTCTGTCAACAAGAGGCACGTGAATCTCTGAAAATATTAGATTTGTATTTGGGGCTGTCTGAGGACTCCCCAGGGCAGAGCTTCAAGAAACCTCAAAAGAGAGCTCTCACTTCATGGAAATGAGGGGCACTTATATAGGCAGAAAGTAGGCAAAGGTACGTGCGGTCCATCAGTAGTTACAATAAAGGGGCATGCGCCTCTTCCATGATTCATAGCTTTACATCAAATGGAAAAAATGTATGGAAACAATGAAATTGCCTTGAAAATTTTTGAGATGCATTTTATCTGGGCGTGGAAAGCAGAGGCACTGTTTTCTGAAATCACTGACCTGTAGGTTGTATATGTGTGAGGATCCCCCATGGCCGCCTTCGAAGGAATTCAGACAAGCTCCTCGCTCTCCCCTGGTTACTGATTTTGTCAGGGTAGCTCTAGCACCCTTCCTTGCCTCGGGCCCAAGATAGCCTTGAAGTGCACATGACCATGCTCCTCGTGTCCACCTGGGTCCCGAGAGCCCCCGTGATCCAGCCCCGAATCCTTAGCCTGTCTCCTAGGTGTTTCCTGGCCCAGCCCAGATGTTCCGTAGGTCAGAAGCCTGCAGGGTTCGGCTGGCTTCTCTTCTCAGGGTCTCCTCAGGCTGAAGGCGGGGCCTGGCTCTTCTCTGGAGCCTCTGGGGAAGAAGCTGCCCCCAGACTTATTCAGGTTGTTGGCGGAGGTCCGTTCCTTGCAGCCGCAGGACGAAGCTCGGGTTGTTGCCTCATCCCAGCCTCCCTCACCTGAGTCCCTCTCACTCTCGAATCTCTCAGGCTTGTTCTGCTACCGGCCAAAGAAGATGCTCTGCCTACAGGTGTGTAGGAGTAGATCAGACCCACCCGGGAGGTCTCTGTCCCACAGTCCACTGATCCAGAACCTGAATTACCTCTGCAGAATCCCTTGAATCACAGTGGTGGTTGCGGCCGGGCCTTGGGGCTGGGTGAGGAACTGGTCCACCTCTGACCCCTCCTCCTGCTCTCTGGACCCCATGCCCTCCTGGTTCTCTTCTTCCCTCACCGCTGCTCCTGCTGGTCTCCTTGGTGACATTCGCCCACGACCGCCGGCATTTTTTTAGAACATCAGGACTCCCTAAGAAAGTGATAATAAAGAGAGGGCTGGGTCCAGGCCACCCAGGGAGCTGGCAGAAGTCACCCCAGCTGGGAACTCTCAGCTCCTGCTCAGGCAGCTCATGTCCCAGAGGTTGGGGGCCTCGCTCATTAAGCTCAGTGGATGGAGTGACCGCCCAGGGTCAGGTAATTCCCGGGAGACTGCAAAGTGCTGAGTCACCCTCTGATGGGGGCGTGAAGGTGGGGTGGGTGATCCAGACAGAACGGGCTCTTTTGCCAGCTTGGCTGGAGAGTGTTCAAGACGGCCTGGCCTTAAGGGAGGGACACTACAGAGAGATATATTTGGACTCAAAGTGAGGAAAGGCAGTTGTTCTAGCCATCAGAGTGACCCAGGGGTGAACATAGCTACCTTGAGAGGGAATGAGCTGCCTGTCGCTGAACATATGCTAGTCCTCATTTTCTGATGCCTTAGTAATAACAGACACTGTACTGAGCACTTTATATATGTCATCTTTAAGCCTTCATTGCTCGATCACATGAACACTACTGTCCCCAGCTTACAGATGAGGAAACTGAGGCTCAAAGAAATGGACCCACTGATGGTTATGCAGATGGTTAGTGGGGGAGCCATGACTCAAACCCAAAGCTGTGTATCTCAAAATCTCTGCTTGTACCCATACATCCATTGAGCACCTGCTATGTGTCCAGCAGGGACCATTTATTATCATTTTTTTTTTTAATTTTTAATTTTTTTATCCTTACCTGAGAACATTTTTGCATTTATCTTCAGATAGAGGGGAGGAAGAGAGAGAGAGAGAGAGAGAGAGAGAGAGAGAGAGAAATACTGATGTGAGAGAGACACAACAACTGGCTGCCACCCACACAACCCCAACCAGGGCAGGGGACAAACTACAACCGAGGTATGTGCCCTTAGCGGACACCAAACCTGCGTCTCTCTGGTCTGCGGGCTGACACTAACCGCTGAGCCAAACCAGTCAGGGCTTAAATATTATTTTATTAATTTTTTAGAAAGAGAGAAACATCGATGTCAGAAACATCAATTGGCTGCCTTCTGTATGCCCCCTACTGGGAATCGAACCCGAAACCCGGGTTCGACTGTGCCCTGATTGGGAATCGAACCGGGACCTCTCAGTCCATGGGATGACACTCAGTCCACTGTGCCATGCTGGCAGGGCCATCAGGGACCATTAGGCTCTGTCCGCTCCCTCATGGAGATCACATTACAGTAGAAGTGAGATAATCTGGAGTAATGAGCCATAAAACAGAACTGGACGAGGACAGGTGAAACCAAGAGCAAGCTGGAGTCAGGGAGACTCGGGTTGGTCAGAGGAGCCACTCTGAGGTGATGGCATCTAAGCTGAGACCTGACAGGCGAGAAAGCTTAGAGAACATTATGAAGAGCTGGGAGAACAGTGCTCTGAGCAGACAGAACCACAGGTGCAAAGGCCCTGGGGTGGGGCAGGGGAAGACCAGTGTGGAAGGAATGGCCAAGGTAAGAGACAGATCATTCAGGGTCTGGTTAGCCAGGATTTGACCTTCATTTTAATTATTGGAGGATTTTAAACCAGCAGTGTGCTGCAGATACCTCATACCAGCTGCTAAAAATCATATTTTAAATCTTCAGGTCTTTTGCAAGCAGATTATTAACTATTAATAGTTTGAAACCAGCCACGATGGGAGCATTTACACCATGGAAAATGGTAAGCACCATCCATCATGACTTTTTGTTCCCTGGGCAGCAAGGTGGTTAGTTATTTACCTGCATAGCACTGATTTTAGGCAGGGACATGGGGAGATTGGGTTTGCACTTTAAGGAGAGCTTTCTCTGGTGGCCGGGTGAAGAATGGCCTACGGGGGACGGAGAAGCTGGGTGGCCAGGGAAGGGTGTAGCACTGGTCCATGCTAGAGAGATGGGGGTTTGGACCAGGGTGAGCCAGTGGATGGATTTGAGCGATTTTCAAAGCAGAACCAGTGGGCCTTGCTGAGACCTTCCCTGGTGCAGAGCAGGAATGAGGGTGTAGGAGCCAGGCTGGGGGTCTCAGGGGAAGTAGGCAAAGCACAGCTTCCTGGGCCCTGGGACTTGCTTCCTCCTGGGAGGGACAGATCTCCGCGAGTCTATCCCAATGGAGGCTTGAGAGAATAGAAGCAGTGTCAGGTCTTAGCAAACTTCCAGCGGAATAAATAGGCCGTGCTTGTCCTCCCCACACACTCGGCCCCAGCCGACAGGCTCCACACACTCGCGCCCTTCTCTGAAACCACCTCTGGCAGCCAACCCCAGCAACAGGGCTCATTGGCTCCAGCCCCTCCCTCCATCAAAACTCTGTCTCGGGAAAGGGTCCTGGGCTAGAGTCATTGCCACTGTGGTCTTCTGGAGGGAGACTGAACGGAGGGCAGAAAACAAAACTAAAGCTGATCAGTGCCTGCTGTGCGTGGCCCTGGGCTGCTGGCTTTCCTCACAGAAACGGTCATAGACGTTCCCCTCACCCCATCCCTACGATAAGGCCTGTGAAGTTTATTCATACCCTTCTAGACTTCCTCCTGCACGCGCACGCGTGCACACACACACACGCACAGATTTTTGAAAATGAGATGATGCTAAATGTTCCTTGTGGTTATCTCATTTCATCCTAGGTGCTGTTATCTCCACTTTGTATTTTAGGAAACAGAGACTCAGAGAGGTTATGTACTTTCCCTAAAGTCACACAGCTTGGAGGTGGTCTTGCTTGGCTCCACAAACTCACTCCTCACCCCCACATCACTTATTGCAGGGGAAGGCTGGCCATGCCCTGGGTGAGGACATTTGGGGCTGCAGGCAGTAGGGGTTGGAAATCTGGGCCTGAGGCCTGATCTGGCCCATTCTTCTGCTGTGCCTTGAGACTCAAGCTCTAGGGTCAAATTCCAGCCCCAGGAGTCCTTATTAAGGCTTTAACAGAGGTGGGGGGCAGATTCTATTGCCATTTAATTGTGACTCTGCCCTTGAAGCAGGCTCCCAGCTCCCACGGTTCCCAGCTGTCTGGAACAGACGGCCTTGCCTTGGGTCTGTCTTCCAAAGCCCAGGGGATAGACCAGGCTGGGAGGTCTGCGACCTGGGCCCCTCCCCAGCTGTGTAACCTTGGCAGTTCTGGCCTCTCGAAGCCTTGGTCTCCCCTCTTCTAAAGCTCTTTTCAGCCCCAGTGTAAGCCCCTTGTTCTTCCCCCAAACAAGGACGGTGGGTCTGCATCTTGCTGGGTGGGGAGGGGGAGGAGAGGGAAGAGGAAGAAGAGGGGGAGGAGGAGGAAGAGGAGGAGGAGGAAGAGGAGGAGGAGGAACCAGAGCTGTAAAGAGGACTCTGAGGTTAGGGAGGGAGTAGGGTGGAGCTAAAGAATAGCTTTGGAGTCTGTAGACCTGTGTTCAAATCCCAGCACGGGACACGGGCAGGTGCAGGGGGCTTGTGCTCAGGACAGCCCGTATTTGGTTTGATGTTCTGCCGTTGCTGACGTGACATTTTCCATGCTCTGAATGGGAACCCAGCATTCTCGTATTGCACTGAGCCCCACAGAATATGCCATTCCTGCGACCGGGTATTAGCCGCGCGTTCTTGGCAAGTTCCTTCGCCTCCTGGACCCTCCGTTTTCTCATCTGCAAAATGGAGCAGTGCTTCCCCCACCCTGAAGATTGCTTTGAGAAGTCGATGGGAGACTCCAGGCCAGGGGCCAGGCAGGGTAAATCCACGGTAGGTGTCAATCCCTGTAATTAGGACAGTCGCTCTCTAGGGCCGCCGGAGAAGAATCTCACAGGTGGCTGCGGTGTCTCCCAGCCTTGTCTCAGGGCTCTCTGGACACTGTACAGGACACTTCCGGCCAAAATTAAATCCTCACTGGGAAGCAAATCGTTCCACCATCCCTACACCCCACCCCTGCCTGTGCTGTACTGGGTCAAGTGGTTTAGGGCCCTGGGCTACTGGGAGTCTCCCCAAAAGCTGCCTGCCTTCTCTATGTCACACCTGTGGGACCCACACTGGATCTGTTTCCACATCCCAGCTACTCAACCTCCCAGACATTTCTAGAGTCCCGACTTCCTGAGTTAACATCTCAGCTCAACAATTTCCCAATATGAGACCTTGGGCAAGTCACTAATCCTCTGGGGGCCTCAGTTTCCCCACCTGTGAAGTAACAGCTTTACTGGCGGAGGTGTCATATTAAGTTAACCCCTGCAGGGAAAGTGCTTAGAACTGTGCTGGCAAAGGCTAGCTGCCACCGCTGCCGGCCTCCCTCCTCTGTCCACGCTGAGCGAGAGCATGCTCTGCAGGGCCAGCCTGACCGTGCCATGCCTCCGGCGAACCCTTCAGCTGCTGCCGCCTTCAGGACAAAGCCCCAGTCCTTGGCCTGGTTTATCTGAGCCTCAGTGTGGTGAGCTCAGCATCCATTTCTCCCTCTCCAGCCAATGGCTCAGGATTTGCTCTGGGAAACCTCCAGCCCCCCACTGTGATGTGACAGCCTCCTATGGTGTGGCCGTCAGTCAAACCAAGGGGTGGGCACATGACCCAGGCTCAGCCAACTGGGCAACCTCTCTAAGGACCTTGATTCTTGAGGATGCAGAGGACGATGAAAAGCGGTTGAGGAGGATTCATTTAGGGGGTATCCCCTGAATTCCTGTTGCCTGAACCTCCAGGGGTGCCCAGGGCCCCTATTCTCTCCGAGCCTGGGTCTTTAGGTTTTCTTCTGACTCTGTGCCCTCCCTCGCAGACTTCCACGGATGTCCTCTGCCCGGAGTAGCCTGGTGGGTTTCTGTTACAGGCAACCAGGGAGCCTGGCCCATGTTACTCTGGCTCCTGCTGACAGCTTCTCCAGCCGCATCCCAGACCACCCCCACTCTGACCTTCACCTTCTGTTCTTAGGGGTCTGCCAACGCAGACCATACATGCTGCTTTGTGCCTCTAAACCTTGTCGCTGCCGTTCCTTCTGCCAGGACGGCCCTTCCCGCCTTACTTCTTTATTCATTTATCCTCAAGAACCACCTCAGACACTGTCAACGCCAACCCTCCTCCCACCGCCAGGCTGGCTCTGACCTCTGGGCAGCCCTGGATCCTTCTCTCCTCTGCACCAGCATTCCCTGCCTTGTCTGAAGTCAAGGCCAGACCAGGCCCTGCTCGCCTTCATTTCTCAGGTGATGCTCAACAACTGTTTAATGGCTCTAGAACCATGGAGGGTCAGACAAAGGCAGCTCCTTGGGACCTGCTCAGGGCTTCCTGGGCCAGCGGGGACTGAATCCATTGCCCAGTGATGAGAGGTCATGAAGGGAGGTACTGAGGAGTGGGAGGTGGAGGCGCTGTCCCGCCCCAGAATCCCAATGAGCCCTACCCCTCTTACCTAGCCCTTGACCCAGCCAGCCTCCGTGCCCGCCAAGCCCAGCCCCAGCCCCAGCCTTTGATCCATAAGGCAGGGCCAGGTCCCAGACTTAGGTCCTGAAGGCTCCTTCAGCTTGCCTGCTCCCCTGCCCTGGGCCAGGCACGGTCTTTTAGCACTGTGGCTCATAGGACCATGTGCTATTTTTATAGGAAAAGACCATCCCCCCACCCTCCGCTACAATTTTCAGGACTGTGTGGATGAGAAAATGGGGCCTGAGAGGCAGAGCTGCTTGCCCTGGGTCACTCTGCAGTCACTCAGAGATACCCACCCACCTTGTTGGCTCAGCCAGCTGGCTGGGGCAGGCCATACTCTGCCCTCTGCCCTTGACTGCTGACCTTGACTAGGCCCAGAGTGGCACCTATTGGAGACTTATCTTGCTTAGGGATCCCCTGAGAGTCGCACATGGCTGGGCGACAGCATGCGGCTGGCTCCCTGGTAGGACCCCCACCCTCAGACTGAGTGTTTATGATGTGCTAGGTTCCCCAAGTATAGTCCTGGCCAGCCCCCATTACAGATGTGCACAGAGAGGAGAAACACCTGCCAGGTCACCAGCTAATAGGAGCTTAAACCGCCCAGCACCTGCTCAGCCACCAGGAGAGGCACAGTAGGCTGCCGCACCAGAATAACCTGGCTTCACTCTCTCCAGGGCCCCTACCTCACAGCCTGACCACAGGCATCTCTTTGACCTCTTTGTAGCTCAGTTTGCTCAGCAGTAAAATGGGTTGGAGAGACCCAGCTGATGTGGTTTAGTGGCCAGCTGGCACAGCTCTGAGCAGGAGACCAGAGGGTGACCTTGCAGGGGTCATGACCTGGGAGCTTCCTAATCACATTCTCATGTCTGACTCACACCATCACTGCAATGTCTCCCCAGGCAGAAGAAGCTGAAGAGAGCTGTCAAGAAGCACAGGTTTTTTGAAGACTATCTGATTAAGAGCCTTGAGAAAATCCCCAAGGGTATGTATGTAGCTTCCTCAGAAAGCCTGTCCTGTCTGTGGCACTTCCTAGACTCGAGTAGAGCACAGTGTGTGGCCTCACTGAGCCTCAAGCTCATCTCGGAATGGGGATCCACCAAGCCCCATGCCACCGTGTTTCGGCACAGGTGCTGAGCCAGCCTGCCGGGGGAACCTGTCATGTGGCAGGTTCTCAAGGTCTTGGTTTCTGTATCTGTACAATGGGAACAGCAACAGTTATGTGAATTAGATGAACTCATCTTTTATAAGCATGTAGCACAGGGCTGGGCATGTAGCTAGCACCCAGTAAATGTGAGCTACTGTAACTGGTATTTTGTCTTTGGTTTGTGTTTTGCTATTATCAACTAAAATTACACAGACATCTGAATGAGTTTTTGTATTTAGTTTTGTTTTATCATGATTTATACCAAAGTCCACTGTTACAAGTGCTGACTTGTTAGGAAAGGGAAGGGGAGACAAACATGTATTTTTATTGTCATCGTATTATCATCCCAACATCATTAATAATAAAAATAACTATTACCACTTATTAAATGTTTACTCTGTGCTAAATTATTTAGAAAATCTTTTTACCCTGCCTTATGAGCTTCTGAGAATTGTGTTATCTGGGCTCAGAGAGGTTAAGGAACTTGCCCAAGGTCACTCAGCCAAGAAGTGGTGGGGCTGGGTCTCAGACTCTGGTCTGACTTCATAGCCACTGCACAAAGTGCTGTGAAGCTGTGGCAGCCCCCAAAACTCGACCCTTGGGGTCAAGAAAGGCTTTACAGAGGAGGTGGCCTCTCATGGGGTTCAAATGAATTCTGCAAAGGGGAACAGCACTACAGGCAGGGGGAATAGCACAGACATGGGCTGCAGTCACGGCCCCGCATGGTGGGTTTGGGAATGGGTTTGGGAATGGTTCTGGAGCACCAGAACCTGGCAGGGGCTGCTGGAAGACATGACTGGAAGGTTGAGCAGTACAAAAGAGCCTTGAGCACCGAGGCAAGGAGGTGTATAGGGCTCCAGGTCGAGCATGGGGCTTGAAGCAGACTCAGCACCCACTGTTGCTTCTGGTAGCTTCATGGTTTGAGGCCTTCCCAATTCAGCAACTCAACCCTGTTCAACCCATTCAAAACGAGTGACTGTCAGAGCTGGGGACCTCCATCACTCAGGATGACAGCAATTCCTATCCCCTTCTTTCAGGCTCCCTGGATCAGCATTTTCTCCTCAAAGGCAGTTTCTTCCTCACTGGGCAGCCTGGATCCAGAATCTGAGATTGCTAGGCAGCCTTTCAATGCTGATGCTTCTTTTGAAGAGGCAGGAGGTGGGTGACGGGCCCCCTACAGCTGCTGGACCAATCCTGCTATCTTAGAGCAAGTCCTGCGTGGATTGTCTGACACCTCTCAACTTTGGGGCTCCAGCTGGAGTTCTGGGGCAACAGCACAAATCCCATCTACCTTCTTAGCATCACCCATTGCAGGGAGCAGATGAGGGCTGACTCTCCTACTCACTGATCCTACCATGGCTGGCTTGTCTCCATTGGCTACAATGAAGGGGAAGAGCCAGAGGAGGCCCAGAAGGTCCTGGTGGAGGTCTTGGTGGAGTACTAGAAGAAGCTCTTCAGAGTTGGTAGGGCATTCAGAAACATCTTGAGGCCTTCTCCAGGATGAGCCAAGCTGTCCACCAGAGTCTGGAGTCTCTAGAGGAGAGCCATAGAACTCTTACCCTGGTAACAGCTGCCTGCATTCTGGCTTATTGCCCTTGGACCAGGGGCCTGAGGTCATAGGTCCCTCTACACCCCCGGGGAAGGCCTGGAACAGTGGTGGGCTGCTGAGAGGCTCTGGATGGGGTCATCACTCCAGCGACTTTCTCTTTATCCCTTTCTCTCCCCTTCTGCTGGCTGACTTGGGTTTCTCCTGAGACTCAGCTGATGCTTACAAGGTGTTCTTCATGGTAGAAAAGCCATGAGTTTTGGATTCAGACAGACTGGGCTTCACATTCTAGCTCAGCCTCTAACTAGATGCATGACCGTGGGCAAGTCTCTACCCTCTCTGAGCCTCAGTTTCTTTATCTGTCAAACAGGGGCAATGCAACTTAGCTACTAGGTTGTTGAGAGACACCAAACTCAAACTGTCTCAAAGTAAGTGCCCCCAAGAAGTTCTCTCTCTTTCCTTTTTGGTTAATCTTGTAATAAATACAACTTTCACCAGGAAGGATGGGCATTCCAGGCAGAAGAAACTGCCCCATCAAAGACATGGCATGAAAAATTTGCGCGCTGTAGCTGGGGCCTGGGGACAGAGGGGGAAGGGGACAACAGAGGGAGAGGAAGGCCCACAGGTTGGTTGATTCTTGCGCAGTAACATGGTGAGAGGTTTGCAGCTAGTCTCTTCCCCCCTAGTGGCAGCACTGAAAACCTACACCATTTGTGCCTTTTTTCCTTCAGAGAACCAGGACCCTTTATGGGTGAGGGGCACTGTGACAAGCATTTCACATGCTTTATCGCATTTAAATCTCACCCCAGCACCTTCAGGTAGGTGCTTGTATTCCCAGGGCTGAGATGAGGGCGGGTCAGTGTGTTAGTGCAGGGTTGGCTCCCATCCTTATTTAAAATCGTTATAGTTTTGCCCCGGCCAGTTTTGCTCAGTGGTTAGAGCATCGGCCCATGGACCGGAGAGTCCTGAGTTTGGTTCCCACTAAGGGCATGCACCTCGGTTGCAGTTTGTCCCCTGCCCTGGTTGGGGTCATGTGGGTGGCAACTACTTGATGTATCTCTCTCACATCGATGTTTCTCTCTCTCTCTTCCTCCCTCTCTCCCTCCCGCTCTATCTGAAGATAAATGCAAAAATGTCCTCAGTAAGGATAAAAAAAAATTGTAATAGTTTTGCCTTGGTGGGTTTGGCTCAGCGGTTAGAGCGTCACTCTGCAGATTAAAGGGTTGCAGGTTTGAGTCTGGTCAAGGGCACGGCACGTACCTTGGTTGCAGGTTTGATCCCTGGCCCCGGTTGGAGTCGTGCAGGAGGCAACCAATCGATGTGTCTCCCTCACCTCCATGTTTCTCTCTCTCCCTCCCTCTCTCCCTTCCACTCTATCTAAAAATCAATGGCAAAATGTCCTCAGGTGAGGATTAATAAAATAAATAAATAAATAAATAAATAAATAAATAAATAAATAAATAAAGTTGTAATATTTTGTTCATCATGGACTTTTTTGCATTAACTTTGATTTTTTTAATAACATTGCATTAAGCTCTGATCGGTTTGGCTCAGCAGTTAGAACGTAGATCTGTGGATCAAAGAGTTGCGAGTTTGGTTCTGGTCAGGGCACATACCTTGGTTGCAATTTGTCCCCAGCCTTGGTTGGGGTTGTGAAGGAGGCAACCAGTGGATGTGTCCCTCTCACATTGATGTTTCTCTCTCTCTCTCTTTCTCTTTCTCCCTCCCTCCCACGCTATCTGAAGATAAATGGAAAAATATCGTGTAATGAGGATTAAAAAAAAAAAAAAAGAATAAGAAAGAGAAAAACAAAACAAAACACTGCATTACAATATTATTTATCTTAATTGTTGAGGTTGTTTGATGCCCCCTTAAATCTTTACACCTTATTCACAGCCATCTGTTCTTCTCATTTTCGAGGCAAAGAAACTAAGGCTCAGAGAAGTGAGAACACTGTGTACGTCCTGTGTCTTCCAAACACTGCCATGGAGCCTTGAGCTGGTGTGCTCAGCACAGCGCTGTGGCCGCAGGCCTGCGCACAAAAGGCCATTTGCAGCCTTGCTCCCCAGTTGCCCCTTGAGGCGAGGAGGGCAGAGACTGTTGGCTCTGGTTATGATGAGGAAAACAAGATTCCGGGGGCTGAGTTGGGATTTAAACCCCAGGTAGCCTGAACATGCCCTCTGTTGCATCTCCTGGTGTTTCATTTTTTGTTTTATTTATTATTATTATTATTATTATTATTATTATTATTATCATCCTCACTGAGGACACTTTTGCATTCATCTTCAGAAAGAGCGAGAGGGAGAGAAACATCAATGTGAGAGAGACATATCGAGTGGTTGCCACCCACACAATCCCAACCGGGGCCAGGGACAGACTGCAACTGAGGTACATGCCCTTAGCGGGAACCGAACCTGGGTCTCTCTGGAACACGGGCCAATGCTCTAACCGCTGAGCCAAACCGGCCAGGACTCTCCTGGTGTTTTAAACGGCCCCAACCACCCAGATTTGTATCTACCTCCCACCCCATCATCACTCAGGCCACCCTGGGCAGTGGGCTTCCTGAGACCTGGGCAGGCTTGCTACATGCAAGTGACCCAGCTCCTCTCACCACAGAGCCTCAAGATCCGGCTGTGTCTGCTGCAGAAGAGGCATCACCATAGGCATGAGCAGCAGTGGCAGTTGGAACATGATGTCACCTACCTGAAAGACACGGGCAGCTATAATGGGAGTCCAGTCTGCTGGCCCAGGGGCAGGGGCAGGGGCTGGGAGCTGCTGTCTCCTCACCTGCAACACACACCACTTACCCACTTGTTAGCTTCAAAGGCCTTCTCTAAGATGAGGCAGGCGTTGCTTTACAGATGAGAAAACTGAGGCCGCAGATAGTTAAGGACCAAGCAGCTCTACCAAGGGCCACAGCTGGGATCCCCTGGCATATGCTGGGTGCTTACTCAGTCCTTCTACCACGCATGTGACTAATAACAAAATAATGATGTTTATGTGAGTGGTTATTGTGCACTGTTTTCAGTAATTCTTATATCTCTTCGATCATTACTGGGGAGTGCTTAGTACAAGGCCTAACCCAGAAATGGCACTCCTAACTATTGCTTTGTTCTTACCCATACCTATTTCATAGATCAGAAAATTGATGCTCAGGAAAGTAAGCCATGGTCAAAGTTCATGACCAGAGGCCAACATTTTTTAACCTAAGCTCTCACGCTGCTTCTTATTGGCCTTGGGAATGAGAACTAATTACCCTCCTAACCTCCACCCCCAGTCCCCACCTAGCAGAAAGACACCGAAACTGTGCCCTTCTAGCCCCAGGGGCTGCTGGGAGGACACAGGGAGTGAGGCCTGGGGCACAGGGCTGTTCTGGGCATACTCCACCTGGACAGGGTGCAGCCAATTAATGTAGGGCCTTCTCAGGCCCCATGGGATCCTAATTTGAAAGACATGAAAGTTGAGTTTTGTAGGCTGCTGACCTCCAAGGAGCTTAGAGAGGGAGTCAACTGGCCACAGTTTGTGGAGCCCCTTCTGGATCTGTTTAAGTTGGGAAGCAAGGTGGTTACAGCTGATCACCAGCCTACCGGCCTGAAGTCCAGTGCTCAGGTACTGCTCGGAGTGAGGAGCGCTGGGTCCCTCCATGCTTCTTCCCAGCCCCTGCCCCAGGTGTGGACCGCAGACATCTCCAGCCAGGACCCTGGGGATGAGAGGGATTGTTCAAAGTCTCTTTGGGAGTGGAGCCCAGGCCAGGAAGAGATGGCTCCTGGCTCCAGAATGTTATTCTGACCTGACTGAGCTGGGGCCAGGGGGCCAGGGGATGATGGGAGGGCCTGTGCCGCTGCCTCCCCATCCTCCACCCCCGCCCCCCACCCCCAGCCTCCTCTTGCAGAACCAGCTGTCCAACTATGTGCAAATATGGCTCAGCAGCTGCTTCTCTGGCTGTGTTGTACTCAAGAGCATGGGCCTCTTCGACCTGATTCAGGTGATGACTCCCTGCCTCCTAGGCTGGCCCCAACTTCAGCCTGTCCTGGGCCTCGGCTCATGCTACATTCCTGTTTAGTCCCCCATTAGTATCTCCCTCCATGGCTGCATGAGCTCCTGGTGCTGTAGGTCTTGGGGTCTCTTAGACTGTCAACAAACTTGTGATGAGCACCTACTAGGTGCAGGATCAGAGGCAGGTGTCAAGGAACTCCTGCCTTGCCAGGTCTTTATGTGTAGCCCCACCCTGGCACATCATCACACACATACACAGTGTACACAATCACACATTAATCACGTGCTCTCTGCACACCTAACTATACACATGAAACATACAGTGACACACCTGCAAGCACACACACCAAGACGCACACAGATGTCACATGTTGACATGCACACAAGCTGGGAGGGGGCATTTCAGTGACGAAGGAGCCTCTGTGCTGGTTCTTCAATTTATTTATTTTTTAATTTTTACTTATTGATTTTAGAGACAGAGGAAGGGAGGAAGGGACAGAGAAAGCGAAAAAGCGAGCGATATTTGTAGTTGCTTCCTGTATGTGCCCTGAACCAGGGATTAAACCCAGACATATTTTTTTTAGTTTTAATAATAGTTTTATTGTGATATAATTCATATAACATAACATTTTCCCTTTTAAAGAGCACACTTCAGTGTTTTCAGTATAGAATTGCACAACCATCATTAGTATCTAATTCCTGAATATTTTCATCACCCCCAAAATATATTTTGCTTCTGGCTTCTTTCCCTTCCCATAGTGTCAAGTTTCAACCATATGATAGCATTAATACTCCATTCCTTTAAATGACTGAATAATAGTCTACTGTTTGTATATACCACATTTTTGTTTATCCATTCATCAACTGATGAACATTTGGGCTGTTTTTATTTTTTCTGACTATTATGTATAATGCGGCTATGGACATCATGAACATGTTTTTGCGTGGACATATCTTTTCATTTATTTGGGGTATTTACTTAGGAGTGGAATTTGAGTCATGTGGTAACTCTATGTTTGACATTTTGAGAAACTACCATACTGTTTTCCAAAGTGGCTGCATAATTTTATAAACTTATTATCAGTATATGAGGCTTCCAATTTCCCCCATTTCCTTGTCAACAAGGAAATGTCTTTTGTATTGTCTGTCTATTGTTATTTAGCCATCATTGTGGTTTTGATTTGCATTTTCCTGATAACTAATAATGTTGGTCATCTTTTCATTAAGTATTTACTGGCTATTTGTACATCTTCTTTGGAGAAATATCTATTCAGATCCTTTGCCCATTTTCTAATTGGACCATTTCTCTTTATTATTGAGTTGTAAGAATTCTTTATCTATTCTGGATACAAGTCCCTTATACAATTTATGATTTGAAAATATTTGATCTCATTCTATGAACTGTCTTTTCATGTTGATGGAGTCCTTTGAAGCACAAAAGTTAATTTTTATGAAATTCAATTTATCTATTTTTTCTTTGGTTATTGTGCTTTAGGCAGCATTATCTTAAAAACTATTTACCTAATCCAAGGTCATGAAGATTTACAACTAGTTTTTTGTAAGAAGTTCCTAATTTTTGCTCTAATATTTAGGTTGATGATCCATTTAAATTAATTTCTGTATAAGGTAGGGGTCAAATTTCATTCTTTTGCATAAGGATACTTAGTTGTCCTGATGTCCTTTTTTGAAAAAAAACTGTTCTTTCCCCGTTGAATTGTCTCCTCACCGTTGCCAAAACCCCACTGGCAGTAAATGTGAAGTTTTATTCCTGGACTCTCTATTCCATTCCATTGACCTAGTTATCTGTCCTTATGCCAGTACCATACTGTCTTGACTATTGCAGCTTTGTAGTTAAGTTTTGAAATCAGTTAAGTGTGAGTCCTACAACCTTGTTCTTTTTTGAGGTTTACTATTCTAACAGGCATGTCTTGCATCACAAGTGGATGTTTTGGAGGTGGGTTTCAGGCGTGGTGTGACCTGAGGCTCAGTAGCACCATCAAGGACCTGGCCTTTCCATCCTCCCGTCTGTCATCTTCAGTGTTGACTTCAGCCTAGGTTGTAACTTGCTTTCCTCACTTGAGGCAGGTTCAATGGAGATATTCAAACAGGATCCTTAGCTTCTCTGGAGAACCAAGGACAAGTCCTTCTCCAGTGTTAGTCAACAGTCAGTGGGGAGCAAGCCTGCATCCCAGTTGGACTTCTCACAAGAACATCACAGGCAGTATCAGGGCCACTCTGGGGCATAGTTCAGGGGCACCAATCACATTGAAGGCCACATAATTGGCATCCCATGGGCTTCTTTGGGTTGCAATATGAATGATGAAATTGTGAATAAGGGTACATTTGTCTGAATAGTCGCAATGTATTAATTTCATCATCTTCCCATAAAAAAGGAAGAAATTATAGTGATGTCAAGGGGTCCCAATGGTCTCCTGTAATAATCACTTAACCTAGATTTAGAGACATCTTCATGTGCTCAGCATTGTGCTACGTAGAGTTGGAAGTGGGGGAAGATAAAGGGTCACGTGGTCCTCAAGAAGCCAGATAATGAAAAAGAATGCCACTTAGGTGGCATTAGGTTTCACGTGTTCAAACAACTAAGAATATTATCTTACTTGCTTTGAATTACTTTAAGGTTACAAATCATTTTAAGAAATCTTGTACATTTTCCTAAATACCTGAATTCACATATTTATGGTATATTTTTAAAACCATAAATTGACTTAATTCCTAATGTTCAGTTTAATAACTGATCTGTAATAGTACAATTTGGATAATAGGAAGTTTGATCCCACCAGTTAATACTAGATATGGCAGAGTGTTTTTAAGTTGTATGTTGGGTAAAATCTGTTTTGTCAGTCTTGACTGTATAAATCTGTTTTATTCCATTCATCTATTAATACTATATCTAGTTCAGGACAGTACTCGAAGACTATCAATTAAGTTTTTATGAGTCTGTTTACTCTGCCTTCTTCTCTTTTCTCACAGTATATGTTCCATTTTGAGGAGTCATAGATATCGAAGAGATGCCAGAACACTCAAAGATGAAGAGATGTGGTTCAACACAAATGAAGATGACATGGAAGATGGAGAAGCTGTGGTGTCTCTATCTAACAAAGCTAAAAATGATGATATTATGCATCCAATAAGTAAATTCATTGAAAGGAAGAAATGTATGTTGAAAAGACAGGCAAGGAAGTTAAGTCTTTCTCACTCTAGGTTTATTTATTTCTTGACACGATGATTAGTATCTAATTTGTATGTGTGACAGCATATATTTTTAAAGACTTTGTTGCTTTATAGTGTGAATTAAGAGCTGAAGGTATAAACTAAATTTTCTTAAGTAAGGAGAAATATTTCAGGAAGGGTAGGAACACTGTATATAATACTGCAGGTTTCATTCCTTCTCAGTGGTAAATCCAGTGGGTTATGGTGTTTAGTATTTTGCTAAATAGGCTTTGTTCAGAAATTGATCTTCGGTGTTCTCCCTAACAGAAGACTAAGTCATTTGTGTTTTAGTGTCACCTCATTTGGGGATTTTAAAAAATTGACAACATTCTTATTTTTAGTAAAAGAAAGTGAGGAAAAGGAGGTGCTTCTGAAAACAAATCTTTCCGGCCGGCAGAGCCCAAGTTTCAAGCTTTCCCTCTCTAGTGGGACAAAGACTAACCTCACCAGCCAGTCACCTGCAACAAACCTGCCTGGATCCCCAGGATAGCCTGGATCCCCAGGACCTCCAGGCTCTCTTGGATCAGTCCCTAAAAATACGTCTCAGACGGCAGCTATTACTACCAAGGTACATTTTTTTTACCCCCAGGCCTATCTAATTTAAGCTTTCTCAACAATAATTGTTGTGACTGAGAACCCCTTTGGTTACTGTCTTTTGGAAATGATATAACATTTGTGAACTAGACAATCATTCTCCCACATCACCTGAACTTACCTAAAGTTGAGAATTTTCTGAATGTTTTTGTGATCAATAGAGAAGTCTGAATATATTCTAATTTTGGTTATTTTCATTTTAGAACCCCAGGTTCAGATTTGTATGTGTCAAAACATTTGCAGGAATTTAAAAGTTATTTTTTATTTACCTTCCCAATTAATACCAAAATAGACTTTGTGGGGGAAAAGATAATCTAAATATCTAGACACTCCTAACTTTATTTGGCAAGCAAGGTTTATAAAAAGGAATTGACCATTTATTATCATTATTTCATATTTAAATAAGATAAAATTTTAACACCAAAAATGTAGGGAAGACATAATCTCAGAATTAAAAACAATTCTTTTGGTTGCCTTATGCTTCCTGGGACTAGCCTAACAGACTGGCATTTGGGATTCATTGGTCTAAATCAGGAATAGAATGCCCATCCACACACGATCATTCCTGTTGTGAGCAGACCTCTAAGGGCTAAAACTGAATGTGAGAAATGCTGAGATGAAGGGGCAGGCTCTGGGCAAGAGCAATGTGAATTTTTCACCAGTCATCTAAACAAAGTGAGCTACAGTAGTTTCTGGTGAGCAGGGTCAAGGAAGTGCAGATGAAACAATGGGGAGGGGACAGAGCTGAATCACTTTCCTAATGTCTGATAGTCTGCTTGCCCTCATTTCTAGTGGTCTGTTTATCTTCTGTAGTTTATTTTGATACTACATAGGTTTTCTTTAAAAAATTGTTAATCTTAAAAACATTTAAATTTAATCACTAATGTTTTTATCTCCTGGGTGATTTACTAGGATCATAAACTACTGAAAAATTTATGTTTTACTCCAGAAAATTTAGGAACTATATAAAAATAATGAATTTCAGTTATATATCTCACCACCCACAAATAACTACAGTTGTATATTGAGGTGGGGGTAGGGGTGTCCTTTATCCAGACTTAGAACTTGAAAATATGATGTTTTCTTTAAATAATTCTTGTTTCTGAGCAGGGGAGCCTTGTGGGTCTGGTAGATTATCCCGATGATGATTAGGATGAAGACAAGGAAGACATGCTACCATTGTCAAAGAAAGCAAAGTTTGAGTCATAATAATGCCAATTGCCTACAATCAGTACCTGTTGAAAAAACTGGTTCTCTACCCCTAGCCCCTACAGAATCCACAACAAAGCAATAGTCTTGTGAATGACTGATACAGATCAGCCTCGCATGCTTGACTTCTGCTCAT